TATGTAGATGGCCGGACATGGTGCTTCATGCTTATAATCCCATCACTTTGGGCAGCCAAGGTGGGCAGATCACAAGGTCAGCAGTTCAAGACTTGAGTGGCCAACATAGGGAAACCCTGTCTCTATTAAAAATACAAAATTAGCTGGGTGTTTTGGCGCAAGCTTGTAATCCCAGCTAGTCAGGAAGCTGAGGCAGGAGAATCGCTTGAACCTGGGAGGTGTAGGTTGCAGTGAGCAGAGATCGTGCCCACTGCACTCCATCCTGGGTGAAAGAGTTAGACTCTGTCCCAAACAAAACAAAACAAAAAAAAGAAAAGAAATAATTTGACTTCTTCCTTTCCAATTTGGATGTCCTGTATTTACTTCTCTTGCCTAACTGCTCTGTGCAGGAGTACAGGAGTTCCACTAATTATGTTGAATAAAAGCGGTGAAAGTAGGCATCCTTCTCTTATTCGAGTCTTTAGAGGAAAGGCATTTGATTTTTCCACATTCAGTATAATGTTAGCCATGTGTTTCTCATGAATGACTTTTATTATTTTGAGGTATGTTTCTTCTATATTCATGTTGATGAAAGTTTTCATCATAAAAGGATGTTGATTTTATCAAATGGCTTGTAGAATCGATTGAAATAATCAGCCTGTAATCCTAGCACTTTGGGAAGCCAAGGTGGGTAGATCACTTGAGGTCAGGAGTTCAAGACCAGCCTGGCCAACATGGTGAAACCCTGTCTCTACTAGAAATAGAAAAATTAGCTGGGTGTGGTGGCCTCTGTCTGTAGTCACAGCGACTCGGGAAGCTGAGGCACGAGAATCACTTGAACCCAGGAGGCAGAGGTTGCAGTGAGCCGAGATCGCACCATTGCACTCCAGCCTGGGTGACCAAGGAAGACTCTGTCTCAACAACAAGAAAAAAAGGAAATAATCATATCGTTTTTGTTCTTCATTCTATTAATATGATGTATCACATGTATTGATTTGTGCCATTGAATCATTCCTGTATCTGTGGGATGAATCCCACTTGATAATGGTGAATTATATTTTTAATGTGTTGTCGAATTCAGTTTGCTAATATTTCGTTAAGGATTTTTGTATCTATGTTTGCTAGTATTTTGTTAAGGATTTTTGTATCTATGTTCATCAGTGATATTGGCCTGCAGTTTTCTTTTTTTGTTGTTGTATGAGGGTAATGCTGGCCATGTTTAATTAGGCTGGAAGTGATTCTTTCTCTAAAATCGTTTCAAAGAGTTTGAGTAGGACTGGTATTAGTTTTTCTTTGAATGTTTGGTACAATTCAGCAGTGAATCTATCACATCCTGGGATTTTTTTTGGGGGGGGCACGGAATGGGAGACTTTTTATTGCAGCTTTGATCTCATTACTCATTATTGGTTGGTTGAGGTTTTCTATTTCTTCATGGTTCAATGTTGGTTGGTTGTACATATCCAGAAATTTATCTGTTTCTTCTAGGTTTTCCAATTTGTTGGCATATGGTTGCTCATAATAGTCTCTAATGATTCTGTGTATTTCTGAGGTCTCCGTTGTCATGTCTCCTTTTTCATTTCTGATTTTATTTATTTGATCCTTGTGTCTTTTTTTCATAGTCGTCTGGCTAAAGATTTCTTAATTGTGTTTATTTTTTCAAAAAACCAACTTTTTGTGTCATTGATCTTCTAAATATTTTTTACTCTCAATTTCATTTATTTCTTCTCTGACCCTTATGTATTTCCTTCTACTAATTTGTTTCCTTTTTGCTTTTCTAGTTCCTTGAAGTACATCATTATGTTGTTTATTTGCAGTCTTTCTACTTTTTCTATATAGGCATTTATTGTTATAAACATCCCTCTTAGTACTGCTTTTGCTGTATGCCTTAGAGTTCGGTGTGATGTATCTCCATTTTCATTTTTTTCAATACATTTTAAAATTTACTTCTTAATTCCTTCATTTATCCATTGGCCATTCAGGAGCATGTCACTTAATTTTGTGTTTTTATGTATTTTCTGAAGTTCCTCTTGTTATTGATTTTTAGTTTTATTTCACAATGCTCAGAAAAGATACTTGATACAATTTCTATTTTTTTGAATTTTTACAGACTTGTTTTGTGACCTTAGATATGGTGTATTCTGGAAACTGTTTTGTGTCCTGATGAAAAGAATGTGTATTCTGCAGCAGTTAGGTAAAATGTTCAGTAAATGTAAGTTAGGACTATTAGATCTAGCGTGTAGCGTTAACTCCGTTGTTTATTGATTTTCTGTCTGGATGATCTGTCCATTACTGAGACTGGGGTGTTAAGTCCCCTACTAATATTGTATTGCAATCTATCTCTCCCTTTAGATCTATTAATGCTTGCTTTATATACTTGGGAGGTCTTGTTTTGGGTATATAGATATTTATAACTGTTATAGCCTCTTGCTGAATTGACCCCTTTATCATTATATAGTGACCCTCTTTGTTTTTCTTTACAGTCTTTGGTTTGTGGCCTATTGTATCTGATATAAGTATAGCTACTTCTGCTCCTTTTTGCTTTCCAGTTGCATGGAATATCTTCACTTCCAGTCTATGTGTGTCTTTGCTGGTGTAGAAGGTTTTTTTTAAAGCAGTATATAGTTGAATCTTGTTTCTTTATCCATCCAGCCACTCTATGCTTTTTTCTTTTCTTTTTCTTTTTCTTTTTTTTTTTTTTTTTGAGGCGGAGTCTCACTCTGTCTCCCAGTCCGAAGTGCAGTAGCGCGATCTCCACTCACTGCAACCTCTGCCTCCCGGATTCAAGTGATTCTCCTGCTTCAGCCTCCAGAGTAGTTGGAACTACAAATGTGCACCACCACGCCTGGCCAGTTTTTTTGTAATTTTAGTAGAGACGAGGTTTCACCATGTTGGCCAGGCTGGTCTCAAACTACTGACCTCGGGTGATCCGCCCACTCGGCCTCCCAAGTGCTAGGATTACAGGCGTGAGCCAGCACGCTGGGCTCACTGTATGCTTTTTAATTGGAGAACTGAGACCATTTCTATTCAGTGCAATTATTGATAAGTAAGAACTTACTACTGCCACATTGTTGCTTGTTTTCTGGTTGTTTTGGGACTCCTTTCTTCCTTCCTTCATTTCTTACTGCCTTCTTTTGTGGCTGAGTGATTATCTCTGGTAACATGTTTTAATCTGTTGCTTTTTATTTTTAGTGAATCTCTTATAGGTTTTTGTGCTGTGATTACCATGAGGCTTACAAAACACATCTCATAGATATAACAAGCAAATTTAAAGAAATGAAGACTTATCTTAGATCACAAAAAAAGAATAGAAACAAAGGCAGAAAACACACACACGTACACACAAATCTACACTTTAACTTCATACCCCTCACATTTTGACTTTTAGTTGCTCAATTTACATACTTTTATATTACCTATATCATAATAGGTTGCTGTAATTATTATAGTTTTTGATAGATTTATCCTTTGGGCTTCATACTAGAGTTATAATTGGATTGCACACCACAAATAATAGAGTATTCTGAGTGTGTCCATGTATTTAATTTACCTACTGGTAAAATTTTACCTACCAGTAGTTTTTATACATGAAAAATTTTCTTTTGCATGTTAGTATTCTTTTTTTTTTCAGATTGTAGAACTCTTTAGCATTTCTTGCAAGACGAGCCCAGTAGTGGTGAACTCTCTCAGCTTTTGTTTGTCTGGAAAAGACTTTCTCTCTCTGGCATATTTGAATAATTCTGCTGGATACAAAATTTGTAGGTTTTTTCTTTGAACACTTTAAAAATGTTGTTTTACTCCATCCTGACCCGTATAGTTTTCACTGAGAAGTCTGTTACCAGGAAAATTAGAGGTCCTTTATATGTGATTTGATTCTTATCTCTTGCTTTTAGGATCCTCTCTTTATCCTTGACATTTGAGAACTAGATTATTATTTGCCTTGGGGCAGTCTGATTTGGGTTGAATCTGTTTAGTGTTCTAAGACCTTCTTGTGTCTAGATATTTATGTCTTTCTCGTGTTTCAGGA